TACTCCTGGTGCCAGGGCCTCTTCTAAATGCAACTTGAACTTCTGGCAGTTCTGTACTGTTCCGGATATTTTTAAACTTGAGCCGTGATTATAGCTGTGAAATAATCTTAATGTTTTTTTATTTTTATTTCTCTGGTAAATAATGATGTTAAACAACTTTCTGTTAGTTTTTCTTTGCTTTGGCAGGCCATTGGTTCAGTGGTAGATATCCATTACCTTCCCTTTGGGAGAATCAGTCACTGAGAGACTGTCAGTGAAGACTTGTCACTGAGAGACTGTCAGTGAAGACTTGTATCTTCCTATAATGCTGAATAGGTTTTAGTGGAGCTTCAGATTAAGACAGACTGGGGGGAAGTCCTGATGATGTAATTCTGAAAAATAAGCTAATAAAAACACTATGAATCACAACTGTTAGACCCTGTTAAGTATGCGTTCGGGTTACTTGAAGACGGCATTAACCTTGGATTTAATTTGTTCTTTTTACCCTAGCTGCTCAAGATAAAAAGTTTGTAGCACTGATTTTAAAATCTTTCTTTTCTCCTTTTCTAATAAAGCATTTAAAGCAATAAACTTCTTTTCAGGTACTGTTTAAGCACTAACTAAATTTTTGTCTGCTATGTTTTCATTATCAGCATCAACTATTTTCTGATTTCTCCTTTAACCCATAGATTATTTAGAAATGCCTTACTTAATTTTCAAATATCTGGATATATTTTTTTTCAAAGACAAGATGAATATTTTAATTCAGTTTCAGAAAAATGTCACATGAGTTTGAATTAGAAAACATGACATTAAGAGGCCTTGTTTTCTTAGAAGTGCAAGGAAGAAAAAACAAATTATGTTCAATGATAATGTTCAATGGATCGTCCTCTTATATGGCCTTTTCCAAAGCACCTGCTGCCAGAGCCAACCCTCTTTATCTCCCTCTAGCTAGGCCAGGCTAATTTTCCCCACTCCCACCATCTTCTTTCAGTCACAGTGTGTGGGAGCTAAAGACCCTGGGCTCTGACCAATGAACAGAACTGTCCTTTAAGCCAGCAACCCACAGAGAGTGGCACCCAAAGCCCCACCCCCAGCCCTTAGGGTAGAGGCCATAGAGCTGGCCTTGTTTCCACTGTCTCGGGCAGAAGGAGTCAAAAACTGACCCTCAGCACAAATCAAAGCTCAATATGGAAAGAGAATAAAGGCCTAGAGTAGGCTGCAACCTGGGGGCAAAAAAGTGAGTTTTTGCAGCCATTCCATCTTAAGAAATAAGAGGAAAATGAGACCCTTTTCCATTACTTTGGTTATACAATGTTCTCTACTGAGTTTCAAGGGGATTTGCAAGTATAATGGGTTTAATCAATCAGGAAATATCTGGATATATTTAAAACATCTTGTTGATTTCAAATTTGATTCAATTGTGGCTAGAAAATGTACTTAATAATTTTTTTATTAATTTTAATGAGCGTTTACAGAGATTTTGGATTTCCATTCATTCATTATTGCATTTTTCTCCCTGCCCACCCCTCCCTCTAGTTCGCTCTTTGAAAAGTAAAAGAAAAATTCTTTCATTGGTATACAATTCCCACCCATTCCCACCCTCACCCCACCCCACCCCACCCCTTCCCAGTATACACTCCACTATGCAACCTTCACTCTGGACTCTTGTTACAACCATAATACCCAATCATATATCACTTTTAAACAGTTTTCTCCCTCATCTGTTTCAATGCAGTATACATAATTAATCCAGTTTTTCTCAGTCTCACCCCAGCCCTGATGTCAGTCCCGTTCTACAACAGTGGCACTATGCAGTCTTTGTCCTTTGTGACTGAGAGAGTTCACTCAGCATAATGTCCTCCAGGGTCACCCGTTTTGAATAATATTGCATGAGTTCCTTATGTTTCAGTGCAACATAGTATTGCATTATGTGACTGTGCCAGAGTTTCTCTATACATTCCTTTGTTGATGGGCACTTGGATTGTTTCCAACTCTTTGCTATTGTGAACAAAGCCACAATAAACATGGGTTTGTATTTATCTGCTTGGGTGGCAGTTATGGTTACTTTAGGGTATATTCCCAGTAATGGAATTGCTGGGTCAAATGGTATTTCTATTTGCAACTTTTTGAGAGAGCTGCCATACTGCCTTCCATAGTGGTTGCACCATTTTACACTCCTACCAACAGTGAATAAGGGTTCCAGTTTCTCCACAGCCTTGTCAGCATTTGATGTTTGCTATTCTGTTTTGCTATTCTTACTGGGGTGAGATGATATCTCATAGTTGTTTTGATTTGCATCTCTCTCAGAGCTAGGGATTTTGAATATTTATGTATTTGTTGGTCATCTGAATGTCTTTGGTGAAGTGTCTGTTTACATCTTGTGCCCATTTTTCTATTGGATTATTTACCTTTATCTTGTGGTGCTCGAGTATTTTGTAAATTCTGGATATGTCCCTTTTCTGACATGTCATTACCAAATATTTTTTTCCAATCTGTGGCTTCCCTTTTTACTCTTTTGAAAAGGTTTTTAGATGTGCATAGGGATTTGATTTCTTAGAAGGTCCCATTCATCTATTTGATCCTCTCCTGGTTGTAGATTTTTCAGGATGCTTGGAAGACTGTTTATGTTGTGGATTAGGGCTACTAGAGTTCTTCCAAGCTTTTCTTAAATGAAGTTTATAGTCCTTGGTTTTAGTCCTAGGTCCATGTTCCATTTTGAGTTGGTTTTTGTGTATGGAGTGAGGTGTGTGGATCTTGCAGAATGTACTTAATAATCTTAAACCTTTGACATTTATTAATACAGGTTTACCTTGGAGTAATGGAAGTTCCGTTTTAGTCCATCACAATAAAGCCCGTTCTATGATAAAGTGAATCAGGTGGCTTTATTTGTTTACTAGCAAGGTGGAGGGTCAGTGAAAGAGAGGAACCCTCAATAAGATGGATTGACACAGTGACTATTGCAATGGGCTCAAGTATGTCAGAGATGGTGAGGATGGCACAAGATAGGACAGGGTTCAGATCTGTTGTTCTAAGGACCACTATGAGTCATACTCGACTTGAGAGTACCTAACAGTGATAGTGCTTATAAATGTTATGTTTACATTAGGAGCCCTGGGCATGCAGTGGTTAAGAGCTTGACTCCCAGATGGAAGATTGTTGGTTCATATCCACTAGTTGTTCAAAGGAAAAGGATGAGGCATTCTGCCTCTTTAAGACTTGTAGTTTTAGAAGCCCTTCAAGGCAGTTCTTTCTACTCTGCCCAGGAGAACCACTTTGAGGTGGAACCAACCTGATGATAAAAGGTTTGGTTTGGGAGGTCTATGAAGTCTATTGTGAAAAAACTTGAAGTATAATAGTAATTACCAAGATGTGACATAGACACCAAGTGGCACATGCTTTTTTTAAAAAAAAAAAATTACATCAGTAGACTTGTGCACTATCTGTGCAATACAATAAAATGAACTATACCTGTATTTATCTAAAAACTGGCATTTGTGGGTGAGCATTCCATATGGACTTGAAATGTTTATTCTGTAGTTGTATGTTTATTGTTTTATAGTGCCTTCAAACAGATTTTTTCCTTTGCTCTTATTCTGTTTAAAATTTTACCACTGTCCTGCCTATCCTGAGTGTCCTTCTGGCATTGCTGCTGCTTCTGGTCGTGGGCGTTAAGGCGTCAAGGTTACTTTGTGGAGCTGGAGCATTGGCCGCTCAGGCCTTGAGGGCCCGCAGTTCCAATGGCGTTGCTGTCATGCACTCGATGACATCTGGAGGTGGCGTGCCTACCGATGATGATCAGGCGACAGGGTTGGAGCGGGAGGTCATGATGGCTGCCCGCAAAGGCCAGGATCCATACAATATGCTTGCTACAAAGGCAGCTGCAGGCACTAAGGAAGATCCTAATTTGGTTCCCTCCATCACCAAGATAGAAGGAGAATTGATGCCTTTGAGCTGTGGCGCTGGAGAAGAGTATTGAGAATACCATGGACTGCTAGGAAAACAAACAGATTTGTCCTGGAAAGGGTTAAACCGGCGTCTAACATACTTTGGACATGTTCTGAGGAGAGACCGGTCCTTGGAGAAGGACATCATGCTTGGGCGGGTGGAGGGACGGCGCAGGAGAAAAAGGCCCTCTATGAGCTGGATTGATTCAGTGACTGGGATAATTGGGATGGGAGTGTCAGAGACAGTGCGATTGGCATAGGACAGAGCAGAGTTTAGGGCTGTTGTACATAGGGTCGCCATGAGTCACAAGAGAAACAACGGCACATAACAACAACAACCACCACCATCACCAATAAGTGAATAGTAGGTTGCATCTGTGAAGAAGACAACAGTGCTGTGATCTGGTTTTGGCTACACAAAGGTGATGCACAGCGATGCCCTAATTGTGGGACCCATTACAAGCTGGTGCCCCACCAGTTAGCTCACTGAGTGAGCCCCTGATTGTGCTCATGCTCTCACTGGTCTGAAGGTGCTGGAATATTTCCTTCTTTCTAATAAAGACTAGCTACTGCTTTGGTTCCTCCTCCCATAAAAAAAAAATAAAAAAATTTACCACTGTCAGCAAAAGTGTTAGTCTGATAGAAGCTATTCTTGGCCTGTAAATAATTTTTTCCATGCATAATTTCTTGGGAATATATTCTCCTTGAAAGCATTCCAGTAAAGTAAATATATAGCAAATATAGTAAATACTCTCAGAAAAAAATTAATAAATAACATGCTCAGGTATAAACAGATTACAGTTTATGTTATTTGATGTCTAGGGAAATATCATCTTTACCCAGCATATGTGCTTAAAGCAACTGAAATCTGGATATTAAATTATATTAATTACTCATTTGTGTACCCTACAGAAAAGAAGTTTTCATTTTGTTTTATTACTTCACTTAAGAATATGTTTTATTAAGCCATATCTGGTACCGAACCTTATATATAACAGCACTGAGTTAATATTTGTGAAATTTAATTAAAAATCAATGTGTTTCTCCAGGTACAGTGACTGCTTCTTTCTCTGGTGGTCTCATATCTGAAACATGGCTGCAGATTGGCTGGGCAGTATTGTGTCCATCAACTGTGGAGACAGCTTGGGTGTCTATCAGGGACGAGTGTCAGCAGTGGATCAAGTCAGCCAGACCATTTCTCTGACCCGGCCTTTCCACAATGGAGTGAAGTGTCTTGTGCCGGAAGTTACCTTCAGGTGAGTGTTCTGACTGACTTCGATGTCTCAGGAGCCTGAGTGAGCCTATGTTTGCTTGTCTGTATTCTCTTCCATAGGTTGCTTTTAACTGTAAGGTATTAGACTTTACAGTCGGGCTGCTTTTCTTAGAGATGTTTTGCTGTAATTAGCTTTGAGCTGATGCATCGAGTTTAGGAAACCATTTTCTTACATATATCAGGCACAGTATTGTATTACTTATAAGATCAATTTCAGAATAGCCTTCCTGCCTCACTATACTTTTAGGATTCTTTCTCACTTTTGTATCATTATTCTTTTTTCCCTTCTGCAGGCTCCTTCATAAATTTTTCTCTCTGCAGATTTGTAAAATAATTTATTCCCAAAAGCACACTGTGGCTAGTTCCTAAAGTCTTTAGTTACCAAAAAATCTTTTTCTTACTCTTTGCCAGCAAATCTCAAGTTTGATGTTTTTACATCCCTCTTTTTGTTAATAGTTTAGCAGGTACCCTGCCTTTTTTCTGTAACCACACACTCCCCCACCCCCACCCCAAGAATAAAAGGATGAGCTTTTTTTGCAAGAGCTTCTTTGGGCTTTCTGAGCAATCCCTTCCCTGTATATACACATATGACCTTTTCTGTAGGCATACCCATACTTAGATGTTACTTCCCTGCATTCTCAGTAGAAGAAATACCTTTTGAATTCAGGGACATTCTTAAATGGTTATTCCTTTCTATCTCTTGAGGGATCTACTCCATCCCCTTTTTGTCTTCTTGTCTTAACTTTTATATATCTTTACTTTTCTTCATATTCCCAGACCAATTCCATATTAAAAGTCGTCCACTCCCTGACCTTGCACTTGTTACTGCATGTTACCCGGTAATTTCCTTGCCCTTTCAAGTCATGTTTATTTACAGAACAAAACAATCTCCTCTGTTCCCTTCATGATCTCATCTTCTAATTTCTACTTTGTCGTTTCTGTTTTCCCCCATCCTTAGCCAATCATTGTGTTTTTTCTCTAACTTTTTGTCCTTAACCAACTCTTGCTGATGTTTCAAGTGATTTAGTTACCAAATAAGTGGCAGTGTGTTAATTCTGATCTTACTTGAATTCCCCTAACCTCTTTAAGTTCCCTCTTCTCTTAATTTCCCTGTGACTATTTTGAATTTTCTTTTTTTCCTTTTCTTTGTATCTTTATCATCCCAGTTCTTGTTCTCTCTCCCCCCCTTTCCTACTTACATTTTTCTGTTCATGTTTCAGAAGTGGATGGCCTGTCCTTCTTCCTACTCTAGGAGCTCTGTTTCAACCTCTCCACCATGGGTGACTCTTTTGGTACCTGAGACACTGGTGGCACAAATCCCATTATTAGAGCACCTAACGAGTTACACCAGGTTTAAGATCAGGAAGGGTGTGTGTCAGGGTTGTGTCTTAGCTCCATACCTATTCAGTCTGTGTGCTGAGCAAATAATTTCCAAAGTCAAAGTCTTTGAAGAAGAGTATGGCATCAAGCATAGAGGAAAACTCATCAATAACATGCATTATGGTAAAGACACAACTTTGCTTGCTCAAAGTGAGGAGAATGTGAAATGCTTGCTACAGAAGATCAAAGATTATACAGCTTTTGCTATGGATTACACCTAAGCATCAAGAAGACAAAGATCTTCACCACAGGCCCAAGAGTCAACATTGTTATAGGTGGAGAAAAGATTGAAGCTGTCGGTAATTTCATCTTGCTTAGATCAACAATAATTAAAACCCTTGGAACCAGCAGTCAGGAAATCAGTAGATGTATTACATTGGGCAAGTTTGCTGTCAAGAATCTCTCCAAAATACTGAAGACCAATGATGTCAGTTTGAAATTAAGATGCTCTTGATTCAGACAGTGGTCATCTTAATCACCTGTTGTGCATCAGTGAGCTTGACAACAAATAAGGATGACAGAAGAAGAGTTGGTTTCTTTGAGTTGTGGTGCTGGAAAAGAGTACTGAATACCTGTGGACTGCCAAAAGAACAAACAAGTATGTCTTATAAAGGTGTGGTCAGGGTGCTCCTTGGAGGCAAGGATAATGAAGCTTCATCTTTTATACTTTGGACATGTATCTAGGTGAGGCTATTCCTTGGAAAGGGACATTATGCTTGGAAATATGGAGGGTCAGTGAGGGAGAAGACGACCCTCAGTGAGATAAATTGACACTGTGACTTCAGTAATGGGTTTGTAGTGTTTTAGAGATGATGAAGATGTCAACAGGATAGAGTAAGTTTCAGGTCAGCTATTCATAGGGTCGTTGTGAGTCAGCCTCAACTTGATACCACCTAACAACAACTGTTCTCAGCCTGTGTTCTCTATAATCTCATTGGTATATTCTTACATGTCAAGACTCCCATTTATTGAATTATATTTACTTAAAGATTTCTTCCAATAATCTAACCATTTTTGTAGTAACAGCTTTGACTCAAGCTAGAAACTTAGGAATCAGCATACCCTTTCTCTTTAATCGTCATGCTTTGTCTATAAATCCCATAGATTCTAAATGTGTCTGGATTCCAGTCTCCTCTTTTCCTTTCCATTTTCACATGTCCTGTTCATCTACTTTTAAATTTTAACCTAGCCTTCCAACTAGAACCGCTAGTGGCCCCCTACAAGTAATCTTTTCTTTTAATAATACCATAGTGCCTGTAGCTCTTCAGATAGGCCACATTTTACAGTTTTTCCATCTGTGAGACTCTGCCCAAAATTCCTCTTCCTTTACCATCCCTTAATCTTATTCCTCTTCCTTGTTCAGATCTGGTTTAAATGTTGTATCCACCTTCACCAGAGTAATTTAGATAGTCTACTTTTGTACACACTTCTGTATTGGCTATCAACTTGTCTTTTCCCCAGATCAGACATCAAATTCCTTGTTCGTACATGTTGGTTGCTGTCTTTTTATACTGCATTCCTAGCTTAGGGGTTAGAATATAATTAGCACTCTATTCCTGTGAGAGTGAGTGAGTGAGTGACTGACTGACTGAATGAATGAATGAATGAATGGAGAGGGAGCCATAAGACATTCTGGACATTTAAGATGATGATGGTAGCTTTGCTAATAACTATGGGCCAGTACCATGTCGATTAAATATCAGTGCCTAAGCTGTGTCTCTGAGTGCTCTACCGCTTTTCCTAATTTCTGTCTTCTGAGAATCATTGAAATACAGTAGCCCTGCAGAGGTGTAATTGGTTAATATTGATCCCAGTTTCATGACTTTTGTCACTGTTATTTTGAGATTTGGACTCTTTTGTGTATTTCAGGGCAGGTGACATTATGGAATTAAAAATTCTGGAGATCCCAGGTCCTGGAGACCAACATTTTGGAGATCATCAGACAGAATTAGGTGTTGGGTACCAAGTGGGGATCAGTCAGAACGGCATGGGCAAGTTGGTCAAGAAACCAGTTTCATCCAGCAGTGCCCCTCAGAACATACCTAAAAGGACAGATGTGAAGAGTCAAGATGTTGCAATTTCCCCCCAGCAACAACAGTGCTCAAAAAGCTATGTGGACAGACACATGGAATCCTTGAGTCAATCCAAAAGTTTCCGTCGTCGGCACAACTCTTGTAAGTTGGATTATGTCTGCATTTCTTCTTTATCTGATTGATGTTTTAGGATTTTAAGCTCTTCATCCTTCTGAAAATGACACTGAATAGAACTTCACAAAGTGGTGATGGTGTGGAGTACTGTCGAGTTGGAACCAACCCATAGCTGACCCTTTGGCAGGTTTTCAGAGAGGCAGTTAATCGAACAGGAGCAGCTTGTGTAGCTTCTTACCACTAGGCCACCTGAGTATTAGAGAACATATTAGGGAATCACAAGATATTAGGGAATTGAATAAACTGTTGGTGATGCATGCCAATTCCTTGACCTTCTACCCCTCCATCCCTTCCTTCATGAAAGATTAGTGATATACCTAGAATTCATTGAAACTTGATGATTTTTTACTCTGGTAACTAATGGTGGTACTGATGATTAACTGTGAACCTGTAGCTGTGCTGTTCTTGGGGCTTCTTGGATAAATTCTTTTTTAATTTGGCTCCCATCCTCAGAGGAGAACAGGGGACTGGTGCAGACATTTTACTTATCTGTGGGAGAAAGATGAAGCAGTCTCTTCACAAAACACTCATAGGTGCAGAAACCCTGTGAAAGATTGTCATGAGTCAGAATCCACTTGGCTTTCTTTGGTTGGTTACTGACACATTAAGGAAAGTGCACTGATGCTTGTTGATGCCCAGGTTTGTCCATACCACAGTGTTGAATATTTAGTGCTGCTTATAGAGTTAGTTCACTCAAATCAGTTATGCTTTTCATCAGTGTTATTTTTAAAAATAGTTTTTAAATAAGTGTTTTAACTTTTACTTAGGTGGGTTTTCCCCAGAGGTTGTAGCAGGATATGGTGGAAATTTTTAATGAGTCTTCATTCACCTAACAGTACCAAGGTATAAGGTAAAGTCATGGTATGGCAGTACCTTTAAAAAGACAATTTAAAGTGACCTGGGACTCCAATCAACCCCCATTCAGAGTTTAGAACTTTCCAAAGATAACTTTTTTTTTGACCCATCTCCAAACTTTAACCATTTGTTTAATATATTACATATTGTCAAGAGACTTTAATAGATATGCTTTACTGCCCATTAATGTGGTTTGGAGAAACAAATAAAATTATTTGATATATATATATAAAATTTTGATTTATTTACAGAGTTTGAATACATTATTTTTCAGAAAAGATCCTTCCACCCTCCCATTGAATTGTGCAACCATATGATTAACACCCTGCCTGCCCCCCATCCTCACCCCTCTATTTCCACCCTCCTTCCCACCTTGGATCCTCATACTCATTCTACAGTAATAGTCTTATACAGTATTTGTCCTTGTGGGGACTGAGTTAGTTCACTCAGCATAATGCTCTCCAGCCCCTCCCAAGTTAGGTAATAATTTACAAAATGATTGCTTCTGTGTGCTATGTAGTATTCCATTGTATGAATGTACCACAACTTCTCAATCCATTTGTTTGTGGTTGGACATCTGGGCTGTTTCCATAATCTTGTGATGGTGAATAATGCTATGAACATTGATGTACAAGTTTCCATTTGAGCCTCAGTTCTCATTTTCTTGGGGTATAGCTGGGTCATATGGAATTTCTATGTTCACCTTTTGGGGAAGTGCCAAAATGTTTTCCAGAGTGATTGTACCATTGTACAATCCCACTAACAATGTAAAAGAGTTCCTATCTCACCATATCCTCTCCAACATTTATTACTTGTTATCCTGTCAAACTTTGCTACTACTTCTGGAGTGAGATGGTATCTTTTTTTGGTTTTGATTTGCATCTCTTATTGTCATGATTTGGAGCATTTCTTCATATCTCTTTGCCGTTTGAATATCTTTCTCTGAAAATTCTTTCCATGTCTTTTGCCCATTTTGTCATTGGGTTATTAGTCTTTTTCTGGTAGAGGCCCAGGAGTATTCTGTAAACTTTCATTATGAGACTCCTGTCTGAGGTGGTATTGTCAAATGTTTGTTCCGAGTCAGTAGGTTTTCTTTTTACCGTTGGAAAAAGTTTTTGATGAACACAGAGGTTTAATCTTTTGAAGGTCCTATTCATCAATTTTATCGTGTTCAGATTATATATTTCTGGCTATATTTGGAAATCTCTCTATACCGTGTACGAGGGCTTCTAAGCTTGATTCTAGTTTATCTCTTAGGAACTTTATGGTCTTGGGCTTTACTCTGAGTCTCTTAATCCATCTTGAGGTGATTTTTGTGTATGATGTGAGATGTGGATCCTGTTTGAGCTTTCTACAGGTAGCAGTCCAGTTTTGCCAGCACCATTTGTTGAAGAGGTTGTCATTTCCCATTTGGTAACTTTGATTTCCTTGTCGAATATCATTTGACCATAGATAGCTAGGTCTATTTTCTTTTTTTTTTTGTGTGTGTGTGTGTGTGTGTACCGTCAAATCAGATCTGACTGGTATAGGAGGAGATTGTTCCTCCCTTTCCAGCAGAGCATCTGGTGGATTCGAACCATGCACCTATTGGTTTGCAGTGCAGCTTCTTGCCACTAGGCCACCAGAGCTCGCCTAGGTCTATTTTCTGGGTTCTCAGTTATGTTCCACTGATCTATGTGCCTGTCATTGCACGAATACCATTCTGTTTTGGTTACTGCTGCTGTGTAAATAGATATTAAGGTCAGGGTGTGCTATACCTCCCACTTTATTTTTGTTTCTCAGAAGTGTTTTCCTTATTTGGGGTCTCTTGCCTCTCCAGATAAACTTGACAATTTCCCTTTCGATCTCCTTGAAAAATGAATTTGGTATCTGGATTGGAATTGCATTGAATATGTAGTTGCTTTTGGTAGGATTGTCATTTTTACAATATTGAGTCTTCCTATCCATGAGAGGGGCACATTTTTTCATTTCTTTAAGTCTTTTACTGTGTCTTGCAGAAATGTTCTGTAGTTTTCTTTTGTATCTCTAGTTACGCCCACTCTGAAGTATCTCAGTTTGTGGTTGGATATTATAAATGGTATTACTTTTGGGTTTCCTCCTCTGAGTTCTCTTCGTTAGTAAGAGGAATCCCTCAGATTTTTGGATATTTATCTTATATCCTGCCACTCCACTAAATTAGCCTACCAGCTCTAACAGTTTTTTGTTAAGTCTTTGAGTTTTCTATGTACACTCTCATATCATCTGCATAAAGCAATATTTTAACCATCTCTTTGCTGATCTGGATGTCTTTTTAATTCCTTCTCTTGTTGTATTGCTCTATGAGCACTTCCAGTACAATATTGAATAGAATTGGTGACAGTGGATGCAAAGATACTTTTTGATGTCATTTTTGGTTTTCTCCTATCGTCTCAGTGACATGGATCCCTGCAGATAGCATGTTAGTGTTCAAAACACAATAAAATGTGTTCTGTGAAGTTTAGCTTCTGCCATGACAACTGTATCAGAGCCAACATTTTAATTTTAAGTCTTGGAATTGCCTGATTAAAATAATGAAAAATTGAAATTTTATTCTTTGTTTGGAATTTAAAACTATTCCAGGGCAAGTTTTGTGTTGCCTTTGAAACAAAAATGTAGACTGATATGGAATTGTAATTTCTCTATTTTCCTTTTCTATCCTTAGAAAAACTCTAGCATTCTTACATGGAAAAATGACTGAAATGTATAATTCCTTACACAGTTGAAGATAGCCCTTATTAGAGATGATACCTGACTCACAACACATTTTAATTAGAATGGCTACACTTAAAAGAAACTCTTAAAGGATTACATTTCTAATAGCCATTTCTCCAAAGATGCTTGGGTATTTTTTTCTGAGAAATGGTATTAGAAACCAGGATTTAGACTCTAGATACACTAAGATTTCTGATAGAACAAGGAATAAATTTGTGTGTGCTAGTGCAAGAGAGCCCTGGTGGCCCCCCACTGGTAAGGAATTATGCTGCCAACCCAAAGATAGGCGGTTCAGGTTCACCAGCTGCTCCATGAGAGAAAGATGAGCAGATCTTCTCCCTTACGATTAACTCAGTGGCACCTATCAGTAACAATGCTAACCCTTTTGTGTATGCAGAAATAAAGATGGACAACTGTTCCAGTATGAGTTCATATTGTCTCAAACCCTAGTTCATTAATTCTAGCATTTTCCTTTTTCTTTACTATAAGATTTTTACTCCAACAATGAGAAATTGTCTCCTGTTATCTACTGTCCGTTTACTTAATCAATTTCATTGAACATGTATGGTAAAGAAACCCCTAAATCATTTCTGTCAAATCAGAATCAACTCATAGCTGCTCCTCCAATGACTCTTCAGAGGCCATAAATCACATAGGGAAAGATTACTCCATGGAGCAGCTGGAGGTTTTGAACAACTTACCTTTGGGCTTGAAGCACAACTTCTTACCCACTAGACCACCAGAGCTTCCTACATGTATGGTAGTATTAATCTTTATCTCCTGTGGGAACAAATAGAATACAGTATTTAGATGTAATTTCTTTCAAAACCTTTCATCTCACAAATTTTTATTTTCTAAGTTAACTTCAGTAAATGAGCTAGAGAACCTATATTGTCTCAAATCTGTAATACAATTAAATTGTTTTGTCATATTCTCCATTTCTTCTAAATGTTGTATGGTTTGACAGTTGTATATATTGATGTGAGTGGCATATACTTCCTAAACAACATGCCTCCAGAAGCTGTGAACTTTGATAAATGACAGTAGTTAAAGATAAGTTTCAGGCCTTTTGTTCATAAGGTCGCTATGAGTCATGCTTGACTCGAAGGCAATCAACAACAACAATCGACCCTTATAGTATCTTATAGAATTGTCCCTTATATTTATTTATAGGGACATTGGTTACAGGACACTACCACTCTGGCACAGATACAGAGTCTGTAGATGCTAAAATTGTTTATAGAAAATTATGTAATACTTGCATATAACCTATCTATATACATCCTTCCATGTAAAATGAGGGTCTGGCTTGTGGATGGCTAAGTCTGATCTCTACCAGGTTCTTAGTTCTGTCATTATGGTGTCTTATCCCTCCTCCCCCT